GGGCGAACTCTAAGGTGTTCCCAGGCCAACAGAGAGACGTAGTCTATCCAGCGTGTCCTGGGTCTTCTCCGGGGTAGGACATGCCTGAAGCACCTCCCTAAGGAGATGACCAGGGAGCATCCTTACCAGATGCCAGAACCACCTCAACTGGCTCTTTTCAATGTGGAGGAGCAGCGGATCTACTGAGTCTCTCCTGAAAACTGAACTTCTCACCTGATCTCTAAGGGAGAGTCCAGCTACCCTGTGGAGAAAACTCATTTCAACCTCCTGTATCCACAATCTCATTCTTTCTGTCACTACCCAGAGTTCATGATCATAGGTGAGGGAACGTAGACCGACTGGTAAACAGAGAGCTTTGTCTTACAGCTCAGCTCCCTCTTCACCACAACAGACCAGTACAGAGTCCACAATACTGCAGATGCTGCACCAGTCCGTCTGTCAATCTCACGCTCCATTCTTCCCTCACTCGTGAACAAAACCCTGAGATACTTGAACTCCTCCACTTGAGGCAGAACCTCACCCTCGACCTGAAGAGAGCAATCCACCCTTTTCTGACTGAGGACCATGGCCTCAGATGTGGAGGTGCTGGTTCTCATCCCAGCTGATTCACACTCTGCTGTGAACCACTCCAGTGAAAGATGAAGATCACGGCACAATGACGCCAACAGGACTGCATCATCTGCAAAGAGCAGAGATGGATCCTGAGGCCATCGAACCGGACTCCCTCCACCCCCTGGCTGCACCGAGAAGTTCTGTCCGTAAAAGTTATGAAGAGAATCTGTGACAACAGGCAGCCGTGGTGGAGTCCAACTCCCACCATGAAGAAGTCTGACTTACTGCCATCAATGAGAACCAAACTCTCGCACCGCTTGTATAGGGATTAACAGCCCGTAACAACGAGCCCCCAATCCCATAGACAAGGAGAACCCCCACAGTGTACCCCGAGGAACACGGTTGAAGACTGGATGGACAAACTCCCATGAACTAAATAAATGTTTTTATTTATTCATGACTTAACCTTTTATGGACTCTTACAAGAGTTTGCAGCGTGAACGTGACTTCAGCTCCTGCAAATGCACGCTCCTTTTCCAGCACCTACACCAACAGTCACCGTGCAAACAGACGGTAGTTCTTACAATCAAACAACATCTGGCCACGCTCATGGACCTTTACACCTCCTGATCCAGGAAGCAGGCAGCTCACACTGTAGCAGATCCATCTCATCCTGGACAAAAACTGCGTCAGCTGTTTCCTGCCGGCAGGAGGGTGAAATCCATCAAGACCTAAAGCTCAAGAGACCGTTTGCTCGTCTTTACTGCTGGACTCAGATGATTTATTTCACTCCTTTGGGACGTCAACTATCAAAACGTTAACATCGCACCACTCTGGACACTTCATCAAATTTCTCTGTCTATAACGGTTTACTTTGTATATATTTACATGTGCTCTTACGCTTAGAAACGCAAAACTAATTCCTTGTAGCTGCATGACTCTGTTGTATTTCTGTTTAACAAAAATAGCAATCTTAAAGTTAAAATCAATACATTTTTAAAAACACTGAACCGATTAGAAGATTTCCACCCCTGATCGTGTCAGTTCTGTGTGTTTGGACCAAGCGAAGCGTTCAGGAAGTGAATCCGATCATTTGCTGCCATGTGTCCCGTTTCACTGCTCTTTCACAGATTTATTTAGAGTTGCTGCTGCAAGAAGAAAGTTTAATACGACTTCGTGTTCTGGACTGAATGTAAAACGAAAAACGTTTTAAAAATGAATGTGCATAAATTGCATGGCTGCAGGACCAGGATGCAAAGTGACAGAAACTGATTTGAAAAGCATGTGGACTGGTCGTGTTGACGTACAGACATTCAGCCTCGTTTTATAACATTAATGACTCTGTCATGTTACGTCTTTAAACGTGTCTCCTCCTCTTCCCGTCAGAGCGTTAACCGTTTGTTTCTCAGTCTTCACAGCTGTCGATCTCCCTCTGTCACTTTTTGACACATTTATTTTTATCGCTCAGTCCGTAAATCACTTGGGATCCTTTTCCCCTCCGCAGTGATCCCTTCTCCTCTCCTCTTCCTTCTGTATGTGCAGTTACTCAGTCCTCTCCCTCAGCTTTAAGCCTTTTATGACCTTTTATTCGACCAATCTTTATTTCTTCTGTCGCTCCTAGCTGTTGTCTCACTGTCTGGCTCCATCTCCCTCCTCTGCCATATTTTATCTTTACCTTTATGCCACTTCATTCTCATCATTTGTCTCCTTTGAGGCCAGCACAGCTTGGTGTGTGTGTGTGTGGGGGGGGGGGGGGTGTGAAGGCCTGCATGTGACTGGTTGTGCATTTAAGCTAAATAAAAGCAACAAACTGACAAAATTAAATAGAGATTTAACATTTTTGTGTGACAGATGGAGTACGTTGCGGCGTAAAAAGAAAGGTTTTGTATTTTCGTTTGTATGTCTGCGTGTTATTAACCAACAGATGAAACAATCATGTGGGGGGGTTAAATTTAAAGATCAAAATATAATGAATATACACATGAGAGCAAATGGGTATCCACAAAATGATGCAACTCAAATTTGTGCACAATTATGTGTGAATGTTACAGTGCAAAATGCATCTGTGCACTTATACTGTGTCTGGGGTTTATACTGAAGGTAAATAAATTTATTTATAAAGTCACTGTTTCTAACTTTGATATATTTTCATTCGTGTTGAGGATAGAGCTGGTTTAAGTTTAAGTTATACTAAAAGTAAAGACCTAGGAAGAGATTAGGATTGGGCAGGAAATGCTTACTGACAAAGAAACACACTGGAATGAGAGTTGCGGCCACCATCTTGCTAGGTGCTACATGTATCAGTGCTGTTAGTGCATCAATGCCACACACAAATAGCCTCATTTTACAGAAACATACGCTGTATATTGTGGAAACAGCAGACAAGAGGGTTCTGAATGAGCCTCCCATCAAGTGGAGGCTCAACTCCGACCCAGTGGGCCATCACTACGGTGATAAAATTACTACGAGCTGTAATCATTCTAACTAGACCGGCGCACAACAGCCATTTAAGTAATTACTACTTCATGTACCAGAGCTCTGCTACCAGCATCTGTGTATTTTCACTTAGACTAATGAATGTATACGATGTTTTATTTTCCTTATAATAGCAGAAGATTTGGCAGTTTTACGTCGGCTGTCCTTCCTGACACAACCTGGGCTCAAACCTGCAGCCTCGCGATTGCACTCCTGCGGCCCCTTAAGACAAAACATCGTTAACGTTGATGCATGTAGGTTGGTTTATAATTGTAAACGGACTGTACTTATACAGCTCCTTTCTGTCCTGACAAGACACTCAAAGCTCTTTACAACACAACGTGCCCTAATTTACCCATTCATACAGCACTTTACTGTATTTACACAAAGAATAATCAGAGCTTTATCGCCTTCATGCACTGATGGGACACACATGGGAGGCAATGAGGGGTTACGTGTCTTGCCCAGGTGCACTTCGGCATGTGACTGCTGGTGGAATTGAACCCCCAACTCTCCCACTGGAGGAGGACTGCTCTAACTGCTCAGCCACAGCCGCCCCTCTGACTGACACTCATGACGTTCTCAGCTTTCCAGTAATAAGAGTGTATTTCAACCCGCAGTCGAATAAAACAGGTTTACTTGTGGAAATATTGATCTAAACAAATGTTCTTTAAAAGTTCAGGTTCCAATTAATTTTACTCATATTTATTGTCCATCATCACAGAAGTAACTAACAATGCCAGGTAGCACCTTCCAATATGGCGGCACTAATTCTCACCTGGTTAGCACAACAAAGGTTAAATCATGTCATCTGGACAGTTTCTTTTTGGGACAAAAGTTTCGTCTTTCATTCGAAAGACTTAGTCTGAGGCCTTCCAACCCAGCTCTGTCTTATAAACAGCACCTCCTTCATGTTTCAAACCAGCCTAACGTGGAATTCCCAGAAACTGTCTTTATTTTATTTATCTTTATTTATTTGTATTCATCTACTTGGATGATTGAGTTTCTGGAGCTTTTTTCACCTGGTTATCAGACACTGTACAGTGGACGGTCATGCCAGAGTGTTTTTATTGCAGTGAGTTTATGGTATTCTGGATTAAAAGCATCTTTGTTGTTGTTAACAGGACGGTTTGTCCGGGACTCCCACTGAAGGGTAACTGCTTTCTGTGGTGCGTTTTACTGATTTGTCACGTTCATTTTGCATATTTAAAACACAAATAAAGGAAGGGACGTCAGTTATGAGTGGGTCTACAAAAACAAGCCGATTCTAAACAGAGACTAAAAAAACAGTCATTTGATTTAAAAATGAAAGGAAATACATCAAAGACCAAAATTAAATAAATAAAAACCATAGTTCACCTCTGAAACTTACTTTGATCCAAGTTTTTAAATGACCACTCAGCCCTCAATGCAGGCAGTGATTCAATTATTTCTACTTTTAAAACTTGTAAGATTATTTTAGATGCATGTTTGCAGACCTGGTGGTCCTTCAGTCTGCACGTCTCAGACTCCACCCGTCAGTCCATTAACCATTTAACAACTTCCTGATGCAGAAATTCATGCACAAAAAGCCTCTAAAAGCTGTAAAGGTGGAACGAGTGCAGGTTTGGTGTCTTCCTAAAGCACTAAAGGATGTTCATGCCTGATCTGGATGTTGGCTCCAGTTGGAAGAGGTTGGTTGTCAGCGAGGAGCAGCTCGTGTGTTTACAGCGACACGCAGAGCTTCAGGTTAACTCACTGCAGAATCCTCACCAACAACACAAACAAAAGTCACCGTTTTCCTTTAAAGTTTGCAACAAAACTTCACATCGATGCACAAACAGTGCAGGGAAAACCTACCTTCAGATTCAGCGGTTTTGTCTTAACTAAACACTAATTAGTCCTGAGAACCTTTAGAAAGAACACGATTTCTGGAGTTAATAAAACGTTTGTCAACCAGCACCTAAGGGTTATACTATAAACTTTAAGTTTACCAGTTTCCATCCCTGCTAGCCATCAGAAAAATGCTACGGGCGAGCTAGCTGGTGAAGCTAATTAACGGGCGATCTGTTTTCTGCATCGACTTCCACCTGCCTGACTTTGAAGGTTTGTGGAGCTAATAAGCCTCTGTCTCTGCAGAACACCAGGACCTGTGTGGAAGCTTCCAGATGCTGCCAATTAAAAAGTGCCAGCATTTCAGGCTGCGCGGTCACGCAGGATGTGAACAAACTGCTGAACAAATTTATTTGTTGCATCCGAGACGTCAAATAAAGTCAGACTGAGGATCTGCAGCAGTTAAACTAATTACTAGATGTTGGTGCTGAACCTAAATGCATCACAACACAACTGGAAGGAATAAAGAATGTTGTCAGCATCATTAAGCACATTTTGTTGGTGATTAATTCATTTTCATGAAGATGCATGGGCGGATCCAGCAGCGGGGTCAGAGGGTGGACTGACAAATTTAATATAAGTTATAAAATAAATGGAGACTTGAGCAATGTTTACTTTATGTTGTTCATGTTTACAACAAACGTCTGGCCCATAAAACAGCAGATGGTTGCAATAAAATTAAACGAGGTTTATATCAAAACTATTTCACCATAATTCCATGGTTAGGTTAAAGAACCATCAGTCCAAGAGGAACAAAATATGTTTAGTCTGTTTTACAAACTGTATCCACCTTATTCCTGGAGGCTCTACTGTATAAATGATTCTGGGTACAACTTCCTGTCAGACAGGAAGTAGCAGTAAGCGTTGGTTAACCATGGCAGTGGAGCACGGACTGCGGTTTATTTGAAAGTAATTTGCATTCAGTTTAGCAAATAAAACTGTTGTTTTGTTTTTATTTATTTAACAACCATAAAGTTTATTAAAATAGTCGTGCTGAGTTCAGGTACCTGTTGTGTTCAGGGCTGCAGAACAACCAGACCAAACTAAATCAGTGGCTACAACGACAGAGTTTGAACATGGAGCCAGAACAAAGAGTTCCTGTGAAAAGAGGTTTAGTTTCCATCTCCTACCTGCAGATGAGGAATTAAGAAGAATGTGTCTGAACAATGTGAACTTGAAGAGACCACCCAAACTCTGCATGTGAGCTCATTTCACTTGTTGACAAACGGCCGACGGAGGAAAACCTGCATCCTACTTTGTGTCTGGACGACAATAAACCAACGGAGAAGAGACGCCGGATCTTCAGAAGGATTGAAAACAGTGACGAGAACATCAGGTCTGATCTCAAGTGTATGGAGGTCACAGCTTTACAGTATTTGTTTGTCTTCAGTTTTATGATTTTCTCTGTAATGAACCCAAGCTCAGTGATGGAGGACTTTAAGACTTTGGGCTCTGTGTCTGATTCAAGATCAATAAAATTGTGTCTCACCTCTTAACAAAACACCACAACCTTATTACTGTGGAGATAATGATAGACCTCAGAGCTTTTCAGATTCATCACTTCACTTTCAGAAGAACAGAGTCAATGATGTAGCTAAACATGATCAGAGATGTAGCTAAACATGCTCGTAGGTGTAGCTAAACAAGCTAGTAGATGTAGCTAAACATGCTCGTAGATGTAGCTAAACATGCTCGTAGATGTAGCTAAACATGCTCGTAGATGTAGCTAAACATGCTCGTAGATGTAGCTAAACAAGCTAGTAGATGTCGTTAAACAAGCTAGTAGATGTAGCTAAACAAGCTAGTAGATATAGCTAAACAAGCTAGTAGATGTAGCTAAATATGCTAGTAGATGTAGCTAAACATGCTAGTAGATGCAGCTAAATATGATAGATGTAATCTGCAGCCACGTCTTCAGCTCGTCCTCCATCCCTCGTCCTCAGCAGGCAGCGGTCTGGTTATATTGTCCTGTCTGAGCTCTGACAGGTGGAGTTCCTACATGCTTAAAGTAAATCCACAATGTTCAGAGAAACTACATTAGCTCGAACTGTTCACACATAAACACTGGTTCTGGTCCACGCTGGAAGTTGCGCCCATAATTCAAGCAAGGCAGCATGGGGGCTAGGATTAAATATGTAATAAATATATAATAAAATATAAATCCATAATAAATACAAACAAACATGTATGTTCTTTTTACAGCCTAAGAGAGTTACTGACTTGGAAACACCAGGTTTTCCTTCGTTGAGACGGACGTTTCTCCGTCTTCCAGCTCCGACTTCAACTCAATAAAACGCCACGCTGGTTTCACATCAGCGTTAGCCGCCTGAGCTACACCCACACTGCGACGCTGCAGTGACATAAAACTGCATTAGGCTCCATGTTTCAGCTCCACGCACCATCCTGTGCACGTGGCCTCTTTGAAAAACTAACGAGCGAAGAGGAAAAAATAAAAATCGACAATCGTTTGCACCGTCAAGACAAATGAAAGCTGCATCTCATTTCAGAGGCAGCACAGACAAGCCTGATAAAACATGCATGCTGTGTATTCCCCTGCTACATCTACCTTCACGTGCACGCTCAGAGCAGTCCGGACGGCACAAAGAGCCGAGTTCTGCTCAGCTGACACGCTCCATCACTCCCTGACAGCCAATTATTAGATCCTGCCTCACGCGTAAAGGCAGCGGTCAAAACACGAGTAAAGGCTGATCAACAGTCGGGCCTGATGAGAGCCGAGGCGCTCGCGCTCACCCCGGTTAATAATTCAGCGCTGCGGTTAAGAAAGGAGCGCTCCCTCCTTATTCAATTATTGACAAGCAGCCTGTCGACTCTGCTGCTGGCCTGGGGGGGGCATGAGTGAAGACGACCTTCTTCAGAGAAACTCTAAACTGAAATAAAAGCAGCTTTTCACATCATGTGGGAGCAGATCGCAGGTGAACTGAATCAATCCAGAAAGTCTGGAAACTGGGATTTAAAATGGGAGGGATGAAGCTCTGGTTGGAGCTGGACTTCATCCTGGATTCTGCAGAGCTCCTGGGTCACATGGAGCCTTTTCAGAGTGAACTACAGCTGCTTCGCTCGCAGGACACCGTCCGTGCAGGAGCCCCGTCCTTATTTTGTTGTTGTTGAGTAAACTAAATTAATCTGCTTCTTTTGCTTTTCCTCGTATTGTCAAAAACTTCTGGTTAAAACGATCAGCTGCTGCCTGCACAACTTTCAGCATATTTTGCTGAAATTAGACAGAAGGTTTGTAAAATAAAGTTCACGTGACGTCTTTTTGCATTTTAGAGACTAAAGTTCACGTTGGCAGCACTTTGGTTTTAACCGCGCTCGGACTAGCCGTTAGCTCATCGTCCAGTTAGGCTCAAAGACTTATCTGCAACAGGTAAGATATTGATGGTTCATAACGTTTTTTCTTTATCTCACTTGAAAACATCTGAACTTTCCCTTTAGCAGAAAAAGATTCTGCATTAGAGCTGCTGTTGTTGTTGTTTGAAGCACATCTTTAACTCTTAAATGGTGTTTTATTTTGGTAATTTATTCACAAATTTTACAAAATAAAATAAATGTGTTTTCCTCAAAGTAAAATCATTCTTTAGAAATACATGTTTTTTTATCTAAAAAAAGTTAAATGTGGTCCTCTGGACATTCAAAAACATGATTTAGATTTTTCTACCTGGATTATTGAGCATGCATCAGGATACATGTTTTTATGTTTTTGTTGAAATACTCTGAAAGTTCAGATTTTAATGAGCGTTAAATTTCCAGTTTTTACTTCTGCCGTTCCTCTGATTCAGATTTCTTCAGTTTTTCATTATGTTCGTTTGGATTTATCCCGTTAGACGTAAATCTGTCTTTATTTACAGTGAAACCTTGTGTTCCTCTCAGCTGAGTGAGGAGAGCTCGACTGAATGATTCTGAATTTAAACTCAAACTGTTGGGCTCTAAAACCTCGACCAGCATGGACTCTGTTCAAACTTTGCCTTCTTAGCATTTGTTAGTTTCTTATTGGACTTCTGCTTTAATGTGCACGTTTAAAGTGAACTCCTGTTGCACAGGTTGGGCTCCGATGTGTTCAGGTGCAGCTCGTTTTTCCTAGTTGTTTGGAGACCTCAGATTCTGAACATGTGTAAAAGTTTTGTGAGTTTTCCCAGCGTGTTCATTCAGTTCTTTGAGCAGGCCCGTTGGGTCTTTGTGTTTTCAGTCTTCCTCGCCCTCCTGCAGACGTTCATGCTGCACATTTACATAGATTCATCTGGCAGAGGCTGAAAAACTCTGTTTACACTCGTTTTATTGATCCTCTCGAGCTGATCTGTGACGAGGCTGCTCAGTAGGACTGAGTTATCCGTGGATTCGTCCTGTTCTCCCCGCTGCTCCGGCTACACTGACCACGCTGCTGCAGCGCGAACACTTTTCATTTGCATTCGCCCCGAAGAGCTTCCAATGTTTACTTGAAACTCAGGGAAAATTCTTGATGACTTCAGGAGTCCAACACGTTTGGGGCTTCACTGCATTTTAATGTTCCCCACCTTAATGTGCTGAAATGATGCTCTTCTGAGAAGACTTTGCTCCGGGCTTCGTGCGCTCGTGTAAACACGAGCCGAAACCACTGCTGATGTTTTGAAAGGAAGCGTACCGGACCTTCAAAGGCTTCGGCTCGGTGCTGCATTGTCAGAACAGATATCCAAGTCTTTTATCAAATTAAGTTTTATTTAAACTCGACAGACCGAGTTAAATCTGATTCGTTTCCGTTTTCTGGAAAGATTCAACTTAACAACAAAACTTTTGGTAAATGATTAAAAAAGTTAAATATTTTTTACAAAATGAAGTTTAATGTGTCAGAAGTTTGGTTTAAAGGTTAAAACAAAAAAATATATAATTTATCCTTTATATGTTGTGACCCAAATGTTTGTACAAAACAACAAAATCACTCGTTTTCTGCAGCTGACACCAGACAGGACTGGTAAATCCTTCTAAAGATCCTAATGGCTGTTCCAGACACGCTGTTCACACTTTCCTGCAACAAGTGTAAAAAACTAAAAAGAAAACAGGAAGGAGGAGGATTATTCAAGATATTTATGTTTCAGAGCAGGAGGAGGTGTGAAGAGAAA